CTAAGCCCAAATCCCTAAAACCCTAACCCCATAAACCCCCAATCCAGTATGGAAAGCAACTGTGCCTCAGAACTGTCGGGATCACGACCTTCTACCGAACCCCGGGGTCGGGTTTCGGGTTCAGCGTTTGGGGTCTAGGTTTAGGGTTTAGGGTTTAGGGTTTAGGGTTCAGGGTTTGGGGTCTAGGAGTCTAGGACACCAGGAAACACCCCTTTTGGAGGACGCATGTACATAAAATCGTAATGAGGAAGGAACCCTAAAACTTGAATCGTGGGTGATTTGGGGGTTCGGGTAGGGTCCATGATTCCTACAGCCGGATGTCCATTTTCAAAGGCACAATGAGCACGATTGCTTGGACGTCCCCTTCTTTGGTGCCAATGAAATAATGTTGATGTAGTCCTCTCAATGAAATGGTGTTGATGTAGTCCTCTCATTCGCCAAGGCCTCGCCTTAACCCGAATAGACAAGGAGTGTTTGTTAATCAATGCGAGTTTGCGGCACGGGCACCGCCGGACCCTCTGAGCAAAGAAGGCCGTCAAGGGCCGAGGAGCATGCGCTCCTGCCGTCGCCGGCGCCAAAATGGCGGTGGCTCACTGTACTTGGGCAGTTTCGGCAGAATCATCGGGCACCTGTCTCTTACGAATCTGGCGAAAGTGGAATTCATCATCGGGCCAGGGAAATTCTCAGCACAGACCACCAAACCCGTCGGATCTGCAGCGAGGTGTTTTAGCCGAAGATGCACCAATCTTATCCTTAGCTGCCCAGTTAAGGTACACACAAACTTGAGCATTCATTTGCGCAAGGGCGTGGGGTGGGGGTCTAGAGTTTGGGATTTGGGGCCAGGGTTGTGTTTCCCAAGCGGAAGCTAGTTTCAGCTAGACACCCTATGCCCTAAACCCTATTATAACCCCTAGACCTTGACACCTAAACCCTGAACCGCAAAACCGTGGACCGCCCCCGCCCCCCGAACCTTAAAGCCCCAAACCCCTTAACCCTAAATCCTCGAACCCTGACCTACCCGGCTACCAAGTCTCTCATCGCTTGGAGGCCTCCTGACGGTCGTGTCGTTCTGAACAGGTACAAGGATGACATGTACCTGGTAACCTTAGTTGCCGAGTTCAATAAGCCCAAAATGATGTATTAGGGATTAAGGCTTTGTGTAGAAATTAAACCCAAAAGAAATGTAAACTTTCAATTGTCTTCTAAGGGAGATATATTATTCCAACTATCTAAAGTGTACCCACTCAGCTACGAAGTAACCATCAACACGCTCCGTGTCCATCAGCAACTTGTTGCGGCCACCGGCGCGAGTGTTACATATCTCATCACAGGGGTAGATGCCAAAGTCGTACGCACCTCGTGACCCTCTCGCGCAGGGAAGGATCCATCGAGCCTCCGGAATGGATATTGTTGTGTAGTCGTGGCTCCCGATAGTCCGATCCATGTAAGTATTGATGTTAGGATACTCTGGACTCCTTAGAGATCACAAGGCCGCAAACCCTAAACCCCAAACCCGAAACCTTAGCAAGTAGGTATACTTACGACTATACTCAACCACAATATACCCCGAAAACTTATTCTACTTCTTCAGGAATTGCTAAAAAACATGCGACTAAGGTCTAGTGAAGCTCAAATCCACCCACTCGTCCACGTCGTTGTGTGCAACATATCTCGCCAAACCTTTCGCTCTCCACAAGCAGTGGTTCTCCTTCAGAGGATCAGGGTGTAGGGTTTAGGGTTTAGAGGATGTAGGGTTTAGGGGTTTACGGTTTCAAAGGGCAAAAGCAGGGACCCTTAATGGGGATCCCTACTCTCTAATGGGCTATAATAATGGGTAAATAAAGGTTATATACCTAGGGGTCCTTATTAAGGGTCCCTCCTTTTACTCTTTGAGGGTTAATGGGTTTAGGGTTTGGGGCTGCTGGGTTTAGGGTTTAGGGTTTTGGGGGGCTCCTTCAGAGGATCAGGCCCGGGCCAAGTGCGGGGGCCTTAATCATTAGAATGCAGGGTTTTGGGAGAGGGTTTAGGGATTTGTCAATTTTGTTTTGAGGGTTTACATGGCTTTAAGGATGATGTGCCATAATGGTTCCCTATACCCCCAAACCCTAAACCCTCTAGCAGTATCGAAGATTCCATAGTATTCGGGGTTAGAGTGTTGGAGGTCGTAATGCCTTCAGTGCTTACGGCCTACTTGGAGGTTCACGGGATATAAGTAGGGTAACTGTGGTTATAACCCAGGTTAGGGGACTTAAAACTTCATTTATAACTACCCATGCACCTCCAAGTAACCCTAAACGTGGCCCTAAACCCTGAACCCGAAAACCACAACCCTAAAGCCGTCTCCTGATAAAGCAGCAGAGGGCTCCATCCATGCCCGGTGACACCTTTGTTGCTGTCCCTGCAAGCCACTTCCAAACAGAAAGTCTGTAACCCCAAACCCTAAAATAGGCAACCAAAACCTACTTTGTTTGTAGGGCCGTTATAACTTCTATATTAGGGTTCATGACTTTAAAAAAGTAGGTTCTGGTAGTTTAAGGTAGACCCCAAACTCAATATCCGGGTCTGAATAGTTAGACTAGGGCTTTGGGGTAGATTCGACGATAACCATACATAGTATGCCAGAGTAATTAAGGGCCCCTATATATGAATGTAGTACGAATCAGTCAGGCTTCTATTATACACACTGGGTCAGACAAGCGACCTTCGAAATATGATCTGACCAGGACCAATTTGTTGGCGTCGATGTAGGGCCGGAGCATATCTTCCTTGGCTGTCTGCACGAACAGGCTTCAGGCTGTGGCGGTTAGGACTTGTAGGGTTTAGGGTTTAGTAACGCTTGTACTCAGCTCAAAAAGACACCGCCAAAATGCGTAAGGTAGACCCGTGAGTAATAAACCCCTCTCCCTTCATAGTGGGTATTCTCGGGATCCTGATGTTGGAACAATTCCTAAGAGCAACAAAGTATGAGGATACTACTGCGTGCAGAGCGTTTAGGCTCCCCAGTAGTCCCTTAAACAACAAGGGTACCCGTTCTTCCACTATTGGTTCGAATCTGTTTTTTTATACCTAAACACTAAACACTAAACCTAAACCCTAAACCCTGAACGCTAAACCATGCCAAGAAATAGGTGAAAAAAGGGTACCACTGGGAGGAACCGAGGCTTCGATCGGGGACAAGTCCTCGTCCTCGAAGTACATCAAGACTCAAGACCATGTCGAAGCCTCAGATCAAAGCCCCTAAACCCTAAACCCTAAAGCTTCTGGCGGTCAGAATGGAGATTATGGGGGGGTTTAGGGCTTAGGCTTTTGTTTTTTGTGGCTTAGGGTTAAGGCTAGGGGTTCAGGGATTTCGGAGTCTAGGGGTTAGGGGGTTGAGGGGTAAATTGGTTTGAGGGTTTAGGGGGTTCAGGAGTCCATATAGGGGTTCTAAGGGTTTACAAAAGGGGTTTTCGGGGTTAGGGTAGGGTTTCGGGTGGTAGAATCTAGTACCATAGCAATAATAAAGAACCACAAGGAATATCAGCATTGCAGACTTTAAAGTAGAGTTATACGTACGTGCCCCAAATGACAATGCGACTATCCCACATAGCTACTTGTAGTTGTAACCCACTTATTAAGACCCCTGACCCTTTAAGCAGCATTTAGGATAGGATGTTGGCGATGTCGGGGTATAAAAATAGGAGCCCTAAGGAATAGTATTACTACTCCTTCTGTACCGGTCTTATGAATTCAGTTCTTCTCGGTGTTGAGCGAGTCACATGAATTCATCATTATGGTAACTTAGTACAACTATAAAGTTCGCTAGACTCTAAACCAACCAAACCCAAAAGCCTCAACCCTAAATCCTGCACGGTTTAGGGTTGGACCTTTGAAGCACTAGGGCCCTTCAAATGGTTTAGGGTTTAGGGCTTGAATGTTTGAGCGTTCGAGGGTTTAGGGTTGCATATAAATTTCGAACGCAAGAGCCACAAAAAGAAAGCTGTATGCCAGAAAGCCCTTTAAAGGGTTTATGGTTTAGGGCCAGTTTAGGGCTGTAAGGTCTGAGGGTTCGAAGGTTTAGGGTTTACGGTTGCGAGCCCAAGAGCCGATAAGAAGGCTGTATTCCACCCAATTCTTAATGTACGGGTCCATGCTCTTCGGCTCGTACTTGGCTCCGGAGTGCGGATTCACTCCTATCCGCAGGGTTCCGGTGCAGACGATCGAGCGAATCGGAGTCGGGGAAAGGGGCTCGTGACATACCCGAATCTTCTCAAAATGTGCCAGAATCTTGCCCGAAGCTGTCGCCGTGATGTTCATCAGCAGAGGCTTCTCAAGCTTGCCAGCAGCCACGTTGCCAGCATCGCACTTCGCTATGACTAACTGGTAGAGGTCATCTCCTCGCCCCTTG